CAAAATCGATGTATCTGGGACCGTTTAAACATAAAAGTCGATGTATTTGAGACAGTTTAGACAACAAAATCGATGTATCTGGGACCGTTTAAACATAAAAAACGATGTATTTGGGACAGTTTAGACAACAAAATCGATGTATTTGGGGCCGTTTAAACATAAAAGTCGATGTATATGGGACAGTTTAGACAACAAAATCGTTGTATTTGGGACCGTTTAAACATAAAAGTCGATGTATTTGGGACAGTTTAGACAACAAAATCGATGTATTTGGGACCGTTTAAACATAAAAGACGATGTATTTGGGACAGTTTAGACAACAAAATTGTTGTATTTGGGACCGTTTAAACATAAAAGTCGACGTATTTGGGACAGTTTAGACAACAAAATTATGGCCCTCAAGCAACTTGGTTTAACTAGGGTTAAACACTTAGTTAGAATGCTCTGAACAAACTTAATGTCATTTTAGCAAGTTTTATCACATTTGTTGTAGATTCAGAGAGTAACGAACTGCGTCATCTTTATTCAGGCAAGATGACTACTATTTTAGTTGTATTATTCAGTTAAACAGTAGATTTTACCATGATCCGTATCTGAAGAAAATTTCATATTTTATTTTTTCAGTAAGCTGTGACGAAACCCAGCCGAGTTTTGCCGGACCTGTTCCGAATGTAACCGTTCCTGTAGGCCGAGATGTAAACATACCGTGTGTTGTCGAAAACCTTGGTTCCAATAGGGTAAAGTCACGGGTTTGGATAGAAAGTACTATTAGTTAAACTTAAAGATGTTTGAATACCTCGACGTACCTCGAGAGTGCTATAAGTTTTGGTAATGAATGTACTAAGCATAAAACAGTTAAGAATGAAGTAAAAGCAAATGTACGTTTCATCAAAGTCAAGACGGCATTATCAGTCGTGTTTTACCTATTCTTATGATGTTCTAGTAGGAACGTCGATACGCGTATTTTTATTCCTTTATGGTTTCATATTTAGCTGTGCTATATTTATTGGTTTTTAAAGTCATAGATATAAAAAAATAATAACTAGTAGCTTACAAAGTATATATATATATATATACATGTATACTTAAAACATTAGTATACTAAGTATACTTAATAAAGTAATACCTTAACATCGTAGTATTTATGTCCAAGCCCCCCAGTGGCACAGCGGTATGTCTGCGGACTTACAACACTAGAATTCGGGTTTCGATACCCGTGGTGGGCAGAGCACAGATAGCCCATTGTGTAGCTTTGTGCTTAATTACAAACAAACAAAATACAAATTTATGTCCAAACATCACTACGGGGGCTGAAATGCTAACTTCAAGGACAGTTTTACCGTCTCCTCCTTTGATGTATTGTATCCCAATTATTTCTTCCTTCTTACTATTTTTTTTGAGCTGCCACCTGCCCACATTTGGAAAGGTGGTAAAGATGTGGGACGTTGTGGGCTAGAGCGCCCACTTCTTTATATTTTTTTAAGAATGTGAGGCTTGCAAAACTGAAGTTAAACTGGCTAGACGGTGTACCCCCAACGCAATTTGGGTCTTACTTCCACCAGTACCTCAAAAACAAGGGCACATTGCATAACTATCCACCTTATGGTGTGTATCCAGGTGATACATGTTTGTTTTGTAGCTGCGTTGTTTCTTTTTTTTTCATGTTCTACGTAATATTACAACTAATATATATATGTATACGAATACGTTTATACATAACTTATATATATATATACATGTCGTATATACTTTCCTATCAAAAGTATCTGTATATGTAATATGGTCATACTAGAAGAGTCATATCGAGGGCATTTATCTGTATACAATATTTTCTACATAAGTAGGCCTAGCTGGACACTTAGGGTAATATATTATCAAAACTGCCTTTCCTTTAATGTGCTGCGGGCCGAGCGAGTCCTAGTGGTAGGATGTTTGAATTATGAACTCGAGGGTTCACGTTTCACAACCTGTTGCCGCAGAATGGTATTTTGGGGCCGTGGGTACACTATAAGAGTAACAGTAGAATCTTTCTCTTCAGTTACCTAATAGGTGGCGGAGAGTGCTGTTCACTAGCTGCTTTCCCTCTCGTCTGTCAGTTCAAAATTAAGGAGGGCTATGTGCAGATATCCATTGTGTAGAGACGGCTACGAGCAGATATCCCTTGTGTAGGGACGGCTATTAGCAGATATCCCTTGTGTAGGGACGGCTATGTGCAGAGAGCCCTTGTGTAGGGACGGCTATGTGCAGATATCCCTTGTGTAAGGACGGCTATGTGCAGATATCCCTTGTGTAGGGACGGCTATGTGCAGATATCCCTTGTGTAAGGACGGCTATGTGCAGATATCTCTTGTGTAGGGACGGCTATGTGCAGATATCCCTTGTGTAAGG